TGGATAGAACATTATACCCTCTCTTCTTACATCAGTTATTGTCATATGTAATACAGCATACACTAATACCGGCCAGTTCACAGCCTGACAATTGATACAAAAATTCTAGTACGTAAAGACTAATTTATCATCGTAACGAGCTAATTAGCATAGTTAATTGAACTGTAACATAGACTAGATTTAATAAACATTATGTCCTGTTGTAAACTATAAATCACTAACTGGTCTACATGTCGGTCGGAAGGCGCTCAATTTCTCATTGAAAAGAATTCACATCTTAATTACACAAATGAAAGATAGTCACTTCTGGTCTTAACAACAATAACATTCCTCCAATCTGAACATTGTTGGATGTTTGAGTTCTGTAATAAAGTATAATTGCTTATCCGAGTAGCTTTCGGAAACTGAAATTTGCATGGCGTCACGTATGGGTCTAGATGATGCTTGCACCACTGACATTAGATTGTTTGCTCCTAATAGCCCATTTCATACCAGATTTAACCGAGTTGATCCGTAATTATCCGAAAAACCTCCCGAGTCACTTTATACTCCAGCCAATCAAACGCTGGTGGGCACATGTACATAATAAAATAGCGTACATTGTTGTTTAAAAGTATCAGATTAAAACAAATTAAGAAATGCCCGCTACTTGTAACGTCAGATGTTGCAAAACTCGTTCCAATGAAGGGTGTGGCATTAGATTCCATCGTCTGCCATGGAGAGATGATTTGTTGTGCAAACAGTGGCTTATACGAGCAGGAAAATCGGAACTTGAATTGACCGGAGAACGAAGTCTCAATTCAAGAATGCGGGTATATGTTTGATGCATTTTAGTGCCGATGGTGAAGGGACTTTTGCAGCTTTACCGTCGAAAAATATTCCACGATTGTTATACTGCATATTATTCCAAATAATTCCTAATATTGGTAAGTGAAATTCGATTTCTGTATTACGGTGTTATGGTACAAAAAAGGATTAAATTTTTAACATCGACACTGTTTCCATACTCACATGTACATGTCCAGATGTAAACAGCTCATAGCAACTCTCTCGAATGGTTTTAAAATCCGTCCTGATTTCCAGAAAAAAAAGGCAGTATGGTTCCGATATTACATTTCATCAATATCTGTGGCATTATCGCTGTTGAATAGGCATGTTTCAACTCGACAAACGAAGCTGAAGTCGATGCGTCCGTCATGTTTTGACCACCAGCTATAGATTTGATATTGAGGTCAGCTGACCACCCGCCACGTGATCAAAATTCCGAACAAATAAACGAAGTTCGCCGAAGTCTCCGTGAAATGGTCTATAACTGGCTAATAATTTCGGACTAAGGAATATTTCCCATTGCGCCGAATTCCAATAATCAAACAAGTAATCACACAAGCCGAAGAATTGCTTACTGGGCGCTATAACTAAATGCGCATTTCCTTAATCTTATTACAATAGAAACAACTTCCTCTGTATCTAATTAATGTCCATAAATAATAGAAACAGCACCCACTGTACATCGAGCATCTTCATAGATATTAAAATTGTAACAAATTTTATTTAAAAATTTTCGATTTTAACAAAATTAGATTTTAAAGAATTTTGATTTTATTTTTTTTTACAAATGGTATGATTAATGTATTGGATAGTAATTTTTGTGGCGTAAGGCATATTCAAAGCTTACATTCTAATCTAACACATAAAGTGTGTGTGTGTAAGTGTGTGTGTGAGTGTGTGTGTGTATGTGTGTGTCATTGTTCGTATCAAACTCCTTTTGTTCCTATCCAATTGATTTCACATTATGTACATGGATATCATAGTCATATGATGGACAATATTTTAATGGTGTAAAGGATAATCTTTCTGGGAGATTTCGTTTTTTTTTTTTTCGTTACATTTCGAGCCAAAACATTTCGAGCCAAACCATTTCGAGCCAAAACACAAGACTATTGGGATAGTATATTTAGGGTTGGTGATAAATGGCACAGTTGATGTGATGGATATTATATTTTGTGGTGTGAGAGATAGACTATTTTGTGAGACCTTTCATCTGTTTGTGCAGATTCTAAACTAACACATAAAATTGGAGTGTGTCTATGTGAGTGTGTGTGTGTGTGTGTCTATGTATGTGTGTGTGAGTTCGTCATTGTCCCTAGAAAACTCCATTTGTCCCTGTCCATTTAAATTCACCTACCTACAGTAGCACTAATTCAGGTAAGCCACTTGCAACACTTTTGTTATGTTTCAGTGACGCCATTGAAGCTAGAACTTTTTAATAGGAAATTTCACAGGTTGTAGCTATATATTGATACTAGTGGGTTTTTTAAACAGGATCGTCACACATGTTGAGGCTATAAATAGGTACTAGGCTTATCTCTTTTAGTTTAAACCAATTATCATAATGTTCAAGAAATATGTTTTAGTGTCCGTTAAATTCTGGGACAAGTTATCGTTACTTTTAGTCACATCTGTTTTGGCCTTAGTATTTTCCTCGATTTCAGCTATTTATGGCATCGATACAATTATGCAAATTTATGAACACCGCCAACATATTTTTAGGTCTAGGCAATGCTTTATATATAAATCTCGGATACGTATTTGTATATGTATGTCGCTCTTTCTGTTGTGTGTGACCTTCTACCGTCCTTGTCCCTAAACAGGCAATTATACAATTTACCTCATTGCCCTTATAAACAGTCTCATTCACGTGTAAGGTCTCATTGTCCCTAGATAGTACCATCCACGTTAAATTTGCCCTTATCCGTATGTTGTATTTGTGTGATAGATTTATGTAGATAAATATGGTCTCTAACGGGTGCTTATTTCTCTTTCTGTCTCTTGTCTCTAGAGTAGCGCACATTGAGATAAGCCACTTGCAACACTGCTCCAAACTACACCCGTCAATTGAGGTCAGCCACTTGCAAAAGTGTTATCATTGTTTGTTCAGTACCATGACGTCACACTATCCAATTATCCTTGTCCCTTATACAGTCCCATTCAGGTTTAATTCCTACATAGTGCCCCAGATAATCCCACCATGTTAAATTCCCTTCTGTCCCTAGATAGGCTCACCTTGATCGATTTACACGTCTATAGGGACATAAACCCTTTGAGGCTAGACAGTCCCTGTTCCATTCCATTCTCGTTCGGGTCTCATTCAATGCAGTCTGGCGGTGGGTCAATGATGACTGATATATCGCTTATGGCTTGCTGAGATGCTTCTCCTCCATTCCTTTATCTCTTGAGTCAGAGATTTCCATCTCCTTGTGTCAGTCTATCTGCCTTTCATGTTTCTCTTAGCTACATCCTTGAATCTTAGCCGTGGTCTCCTTTGGTTTATGTTTCCTTTCTTTAGTTGTATGTACATAAGTTGTCTCGGGAGTCTCCCATCACTCATCCTATGGACATGACATAGCCATCTTGGGTTTTTCTGAATAAGAATGTCGATCATAATCAGGAGTCCCGTTTACTTCGTTACTTCTATTTTTGTGACCTTGTCCCCCCCCCATCTAATTCGTAGAATTTGGCGCAGGTGATAGGCATGAAGTCTCTTTGCCTGTATAGTCCAGGTTTCTGCACCATAACAGGAGAGATGCCATCACTATGGCACGATATACTTTCCCTTTCACACGAGATGACATATAAGTATTGTTCCAGAGCCTATGATATAGCTTGCTGAAAGCAGTCCTGGCTTTCCCCCACCTGTATGCTATCGCACTTTCAAGGCCAGCATTGTCTGAGATAGTACTACCAAGGTAGACAGTTTTTGTGGTGGTGGTGGTTGTAGCGGTGGTAGTGATGGTGATAGTATAAATTAAAAAATGACCGATTTGGATACTTCATCCATGGCTTTATTATCTGTAGTTTTATATTTAGACATCGAAACGTTATTATATTTTGTCTTATATTTAGGCTTCGAAATTTTATTATAGTTGGTCTTATGTTATAGTTAGATATCGAAATATAAGCAACGATATTTTTACCCATAAATAAGGTATTGTAAAATTGGATAGTAAAATTATGATGTATAGTGAAGTATTGCTCTTAATGTAGCTGTCCCAATTGGCCGAGTAGCCGAAAGCGATCCTCTATTCCAATCACTGCAGTATTATCTCATATGTCCACCTGGTTTTGAGTCACAGGCTCGGCTAATGTGAGTATGTGAGAAAGCAGCCATTAGGTTCTCTTAGGTCGATGGTTCTTACCCGGCTTTTCCCAGATTGTTGAGGTATACTGACCGCCTATCTTTCGATGAAAAATGGGTTCAAACCCAAGCCAACGACTAAATTAACAACAGTCCTCTGTGTGTGTGTGTGTGTGTGTGTGTGTGTGTGTGTGTGTGTGTGTGTGTGTGTGTGTGACTATGGCTGGAGCAAATCTACTTTCTCAATAAATCACATTTTGAGTATTCCCGTCGATATGTTGGAATAAAAGAGTAGAGGTTTTTCTGCAGAACACTTGATGTTATTATGTGCCTCTTGTACGTTAGTGTGTTAAAAGCCGTCTCGAATTTCTTAGCATTACTGAATATAACATGAGTAGTTGATGTGAACAGTAGTAGTAGTAGTAGTAGTAGTAGTAGTAGTAGTAGTAGTAGTAGTAGTAGTAGTAGTAGTAGAATTAGTAGTTATTGATATTGTTGTTGCAATAATAGCAGACGTTGTGTTAGTAGTAATAGTATATCATCTTGACAAATATTGTATTTGTATACGGAGACATGAACTGGAGCCCATTTTGTTCCGTTTAGATGCTGGGCACAAAAAAGGTTATATCAATACAAATTTAAATCAAGACCGGCAAATTGAACCAGCAGGATATTAAGTAAACCCCCGCATTATGAAGGGTTTTGATACTCCGTACATATCAATATACATATTTGATATACCAGTCCTGAAATATCCTTATGTATAGAGTATCATACATGTCTGGCCTAGAAACTCTGCATTATGACGTCATATTTAAAATATATTTAATGGTTTTGCTTGTTTGATTTTTTTATTTTCATGCACGACCGCTCCGAGATGGCGTAATGGTTAGAGTGTCCACCTCGAATGCGAGTGATCGCGGGTTTGAACCCCGTCCTAGTCTTACCAAAATTTCTAAAAATGGTACTAGCAGCTGCCTCTCTTGGGGATCAGTATTAATAGGTTAGTGGTAGGACTGGTTGGCCTGGTGTTAGGATAATGTGACTGGGTGGGACATCATGCTACATGTCTGCGGCAATATTCCCCAGTGCTAAACATCACTATAAATGCCATACTGCAGACATTGTATCAATTGTATCAATATGACTCAAACTGTTAAAAAAGTTAAAAATCCAAAACACACATTCGCTTAATACACAATCATTATAGTTGATGGTTTCTCTGTAATATAAAAGCGAATAGACTTAACAATCTCCCCACCCAACTCGAAAATTTCAGGTTATATTCTGACACCTGATAATAGGACACAGCTTTTCTCGCTCATTCCCTTAATCACTCGCTCACTTGATTACTCGCTCAGTTACAAAGCACAAGCTATCAACGTTGCTAGCTGGCTAACTAGCTGGTTACTTGTAATTTATGGCATTATATAGCTATGCCGCTATATAGCTGTCCATATATCAGTATCTCTAGGTGTCTGACCGCCCGCCTGTCGTTTCTGTCTGAAAGAATAAATAATATTTTACTATTCATGTGTGTACCCTAAATCGGATGACGGCATTTTAAATTTTGTATATGAAATAATATGCAAGAGATATTTGTAAAAATTCATTGATTTTTTTTTCGGTCAGTTAGGAAATTCAGGCGTTCGTAGGACTGGTACATAGATTACGACTCTACAGTAGAATAAGATAAGATAGAGATACGGTTCAAATAGTCAAAATTCTAAATCACCACCAGCATGTTGATTCTATTTGTGAATTTAGTCATAAAAATTTCAACCTGTTCTCACGAGACGAGTAATGAATAACAAAATGCACTTTTGCGGTATCTTGATACCGCCAAGTTTGTTCTCCATGCAGTTTGACTGAAAGATAACTGAGATATACAGTAACAAAATTAAGACCTTTTTAATTTACATCTTTAAAAAATGTTAATATTTTTAAATGTCGTGTTAGCGTTTGTGCCATTATATAAGGTAGACATTTTGAATGAATTTTAAATGAAGGATAAAATAGGGAGTTTCCGCAATCTGGAGAGTGCGGGAGGTAAATGTCAGGCTTTGTCATCCAACTTGACATAGTCACAATAGACGATCCTACTTTTAATCCTTATCGACACAAACAATTACACTGAGGCACATATTTGGCATGTTCTCACACTTCTCCAATCTGTAGCACAGCAAGCAGTCAGGTTTCAGTAAACCAACCAGACTAAAAAAAAAAAGTTGTTTTTTTTTCTTTTCCAACTCATGTCAGTCTTGATCGAATGAATTCATGCATTATATGGAAGGCAACTTGCATTAAAGTGGAATGATTACATAACAGTCGAAGTGCTTATCACATTGATAGATCGAGCCAGAACTAGATTAGAAAGGGACTAAAATCGGTTATCTTAGAATTAAATTTACTTAGAAAGCAACAAATAAATACAAATCAATAAAGCACAGATATGCAAGAACAATTCTGATAAATTTTGTGTCAAATATTAAACATATTGATATAACAGACAATTTGAGTCAAAATGAACATTTGTATTATTAGCTCACTTCTACACAAGATGTTATTATTTCCATGAACAAGAAATATTTAACACAATGTATGGAGAACTTTTAGTTGCAACTACTCTGTTCATATGACATAAATGTGATTCCGTTTTATATGCAATTACTCTGTGTGTGTGTGTGTGTGTGTTTGTGTGTGTGTGTGTGATTTGGATTATTAAAATAGCTTTAACAATTTAACAATTTTTATCCCTACGATATCTGCAATGTGGCAGTTAATAGTAATGTCTAGCACTGGGGTATTATGCCGCAGGCATGTAGCTTCGGGTCCCAACCAGTCACATTATCCTGACACCAGGCCGACCAGTTCTAATACTAATCTCAATGCTGAGCGCCAAGCGAGGCAGCTGCTCGTACCAGCTAACAACAGAATGTTACAAATTTTCTACATGTAATAATTACTATGATCAAAAGAGAGAAATAATGACAACCTATCTACATGCAATTACTCCGTTGATACAAAAGAAATGGTACATTTCTGCATTTAATCACACCGTTAATATGATAGAAATGTGTTAACTTTACTACATGCAATGGAGTAAATGTGTCGACGTTTTTACACGTAATTACTCCGTTTTTAAGAGCCACGAGTGGCCGAGTGGTCTAAAGCGCTCTCCGTTACGGATCACTGCCATCTCACCTCAGTCTGCGTTGGTTCGAGTCTAAGATTCGGCGAATGTGGATATGTGATAAAGCTTCTGGTGGGTCGGTGGTTCTTTCCGCGGATTTCTCGGTTTCTTCCTCCACCATTAATACTGGCCGCCATGTATAGCCTATAATGTGCTGAAAATGGCGTTAAGCCCCACAACAACAACAACAACAACAACTTCGTTCTTATGACAGAAATGTGTCAACTTTACTTCATGCAATGTAGTAAATGTGTCGACGTTTTTCCACGTAATTACTCCGTTCATATGGCAGAAATATGTCAACATTTGTACACGTAATTACTCCGTTCATATGGCAGAAATATGTCAACATTTGTACACGTAATTACTCCGTTCATATGAGAAATATGACAACTTTTATACATGCAATTACTCCGTTCAAATTATAGAAATGAATACACGTTCACTTTCAATTACAGAATGAAATGTCCTAGTCATATGCAAGGTGTGAAGATACCCTGCCCACACAGTATGCATGGGGTTATCCTGTCCACGTAACAAGTGTAAGATTACCCTGTCCACATAATAAGTGTAAACTAGCTACCCTGTCCACATAACAAGTGTGAGGCTATGCTCTCCACAAAATGAAATATCAAACAGGGATTACAGAAAGAAAGAGGGATGCGAGTGATTATTACAAGATTTTATAACTGAAAGACACAAAATGAAAGACTTTATGACAAAACTTAACTCAGTGTATGCATGCTTAAAAATTTATATAAGTATATATTGATCGAAAGCATAACCCGTAAACGAGAAACACATAAAAAGACAACATTCAAGCAAGCTTATCTCGAAGTTACTGCTATACCTCATATGGTATTTACATAAAACAAATGCAATAGCAGCGTGGTGCACACCATTCAGAGACAGAGCGATGGAAGATTTATAAAATTTATGGAACTGAAGTTCGCTGTCCTGCAATAGTTTCAGAATAGATTCATCGAATCTTCTCTTGTTCTTCTTATTGGACTTTTAATCCGACTATTAAAGATGACGAGCAAAGTAACTGGCACACTCACATATTATAAGCTAGATATTTCCAGTTAGGATAAATTATGGAGTATATATTATAAGTTAATCTGTTTGCATATATGGCCACGTTTTGTCTACAAATTTTTTATGCACCTATTTAAAAGTTTCATCTGATGATTATTAGATAATGCATGTCATTCCCAATAATCCTGCCATCCTCAGTACGCATGCATCCTCATTACCCATACCATCCGCAATATACATGCATCCCCATTACCCATACCATCCCCAATCTGCATGCAACACCATTACCCATACAATAACCAATATGCATGCATCCCCATTACCCATACCACCCAAAATACGCATTCATCCCCATTATAAATACCATCCCCACTATGCATGCATCCCCATTATCCGTACCATACAAAATACGTATGCATCCCCATTACTCATATCATCCCCAATATACATCCATCCCCATTTACCCATACCATCCCCAATATGCATGCATCCCCATTACCCATAACATGCCCAATATGCATGCATCCCCATTACCCATACCATCCCCAATATGCATGCATCCCCATTACCCATACCATCCCCAATAAACATACATCCCCATTACACATACCATCCCCAATATGCATGCATACCCATTCCCAATGCCCATGCATCACTGTTACCCATACGATCCCCAATACGCATGCATTCCCACTACCCATACAGTCCCAAATATGCATGCATCCCCATTACCCATACCATCCCCAGTATAACTGCATCCCCATTACACATACCATCCCCAAAATACATGCATACCCATCACCCATACCATCCTTTTTAAGCGTGCATTACCGTTACCCATACCATCCCAAATACGCATGCATTCCCATTACCCATGCCATCACCAATATGCATACATCCCCATTACCCGTACCATACCAATTACCAAATACGCATTCATTCCCATTACCCATGCCATCCCCAATACGCATACATCCCCATTACCCGTACCATACCAATTACGCATGCATCTCCATTACCCATACCATCGCCAATATGCATGCATCCCCATTACCCATACCATGACCAATATGCATGCATCCGGTGGCCGGACAAAATGGCATGCAGACAAAATGACCGCGGACAAAATGACACGGACAAAATTTCACAGACAAAAGAGCAGGGACAAAATATCAGTGGACATAATAGCATGGAGAAAAAGATTCTGGAGGCAAAACAACATTTCTCCGTGAATAATCAAATGTTTCATCATCCATCTGATGCAAACAATGTTTCATTACCATTTTTAGTTTAGATTAAATAATTTTCTGAGGCAGGACCACAACAATTATTGTTTATGGGTTGAGTACCTGGTATCTAGATTCTAGAAACAATAAACGCTAGATGTAAATGCGGATTCATTGATCTGTTTTGTACCTGTTATCTAGATTATAGAAACAATAAACGCCAGATTTTAAGGCGGATTCATTGATCTGTTGGATACCTGTTATCTCGATTCTATAAACAATAAACGCCAGATTCATTGATCTGCTAGGACAAGAATTCAGTGAGTGGGATTAGTAACGTACATAGTCTAAATGCCATATGGCTTCAAAATTCAAATCTGCCGGCGGCCCATTGAATAACGTTACACTATATATATATATATATATATATATATATATATATATATATATATATATATATATATATATATATATATATATATATATA